GTTGTAGACTGCTCTGGTTTTCCGGGAACGACCTGCGAAACCAGGACCAGAGAAATGGCGGAAGGAAGGCTGATTCCGTCCTTTCTGGTTTGGTGTGGTTTTGTTAAATATCGTGTCCAGCACACTGGTGCTGGTCAGGACCGGGGACATCCTAGTAACGCCCTTTAATACGGTACCTACTACTCCCACTCTTGCCAAAACTGCTTCCCACTGGATGATTTACAAGCAGGTCCGTTTTCAAAAGCGGGGTTCATTTAGTCCTTTCCCACTGCCCCATTCCTCAGGAGCGGTTTTGTAGAAATTGTCTCATTTTGTACAGGGCAAGTCGTGTATGGAGACAAAGCAGAGGCAGGTCCGAAGACACCCGGATTTCACACCAAAGATGCCAGCATCATTCCATATTCTGACCTCCTACCCCGCACGGGCCAGAAGAAGAGGCACTGAGCTCCACCTAAGCGACCCACATTTTAGTTTGGACCCGAAGCAGCATGAGATCGTCCGTGTGAACCTGCTCCTATTTGCGACCTAGCACAATGTTCTCTATCCAGGTCCCCGCTTCTTCTTCTTATTTTCTTCAACTTCATTATCTCCACAAGTCAGTGCTCCTGACCCACCACAGCACACTTGACATATTAATGATGTTCTCATCCTGATGTCTTTTACTGCACAACTGGCCTCGTGATTTTACCCACATAAGGTGGGCGGGAGAGGGAGGAGGGGTCCCCAGAAAGGAGTGCTCTTTTCTACAGCCGGAATGAACATTTAATGAAGGAAAGAAGAGAAACAGAAAAAAACATGACCTGGTTCACTAAAAATTCCCCAAGCAAAGCACCAAGCCCCTGTCATTTTTGTGTCTGGGAAACGCTTTAGTTCGCAGGAAGGCGGTTTCAAACCGGTGCTGAAGACCTGTTAGATGGATGAGGAGAGAGTATTGGAGGGTGCCTAGATATGGCGATGGCACGGGCTGGAAGGTATTTCCTTCTGAATCAATCACCATGGTCATTCCTGCAGTTACTTCTAAAGTGAGGAATTAAGCTCATCTCTCTCAGCTGTATTGTTGTTATGGCCCTCAGAGTCATCATTATAATCATCAGCATTGACATTAGTAAATTCTGGTGCATACCTCGGGCCTTCCTGGTGACTCTGATGCCTACTGGGACTTGTTTCTGCTGCAGCGGCTGTACACTGGACAAGCATTAGGTGGGGGGTTTTTTAGAGACAACTCCACCCTTATCTCAACACCCCATAGATCAAAGAATAATACGCAGGATTAATACTGCCCCCGGAAAAGCGTCTATACATGCATTGGTTTGGGAGAAAATTAGCTCCCAACCACTGCAGTTGACACCAGGGATGTTCCTACCCAGTGCCCCTCTCTGTCCTGTGCAACCAGCCAGGGGGAGCTTGGCTCTCTCAGGCATCAGCTTTGAACATATTCATTGTAAACAAATGAGGGTTCAAATACTACATTTAATCTGTACTTACTTTTTGTTCCTTGAGGAAGCAATCCTGCAAGACCCCAGTATTGTCTAACCCGGGCGGGCGGGACACCGGCATTCCCTGTCAGCTTCAAGGAAGCCAGGTCTTTCCTGGGTGTAAGCTGTCCCCTTTCCCGTTGCACTTGCTGGTCCCCATGAGGCTGCGGTCAGTGGCAGCGGGTCAATTTGGAGCAGAGCCGGAAATGGGCGGGTGTGAAAAGCCAAGAGTCAGTGCAGGGAGACGGGACAGGGGCCGGCCGCGGCGCACGGGGCCGAGATGCGAGTGGAGGAAGCGCGTGGACGAAATGGAGAAAAGGAGGCGAGAGTCTCCCTGCATCCAGTGGCGAGAGGAGGCCATGGCCCCCGGGCGCCGGCGGGCGGGGTGGAGCGGGGCGGCGGCCAGCCCTTCGGAGGAGAAAAGGAGGGCCAGAGTCTCCCTTCGTCGGTCCCAAGCAGACCCTCCGCGGCCCGCAGCGCACTCTCCCTCCCGCTCTCCTGCGGGCTTCCGCGGCCAGAGGAAAAGGAGGCTGCTCCCAGGACGGCGGGAGCGGTCACGGCAGCTCCGGGAGGATGAACAGCGCTGCGGGGAGTGGTCGGGAGGCGGCGATGAGCGAGACCCGGGTCTGAGCTCTGCCCTCCGCGGGTCTGTTCTCCGCCCAACCCCCCGCGGGGCTGCAGCCCAGCCCAGCAGCTCCGTGCCTGCCCGCGGCTTCCCGCACCCGCGCACCCAGCCCATGGCCTCGCTCCCTCTCCCCCCGATCCGTACCGCTTTCTCCCCGCTCCTTTGTCCCCTTCCCCTCTGCTGCACCCCTCAGTCATACCCGGAGGACATCATGGTTTAGAGGGGTGGGTTCCCCGAGCGGGACGAGCTCTCCGCCAACGTGTGAAGGACGGGAACATTTCCCTTCGAGAGAAAAACGCATTCTCTCCCCCTTCCTCCCTCTTATGATGTCAATGACTCGGTGAAGACGTCACAAGCGGGGAGTTCTCCCGTTCCCTGGGTCGCCCTGCCATTGGTTCGTGCCCCCTACGTGCCAGGTGACGTGCCCCAGCGCCAAACTCTCCTGCCGGGCAAAAAATGCGCGGATCATCCCGACACCGTAGACGCTTCCAGGACTCGAGCCCACAGTTGCTGGAGCCATGAGGCTGCCTCTGCCCTTGGTCTCCCTGCTCTGCGCCTGTGAGTCTGCGCCTGGGGCGCCCCGGGCCCCGCACGCCCGGCTGGGGGACTCCGGGGAGGAGAGCGGAATCCGCCCCGGGCTTTGTTGGTCGGAGGAGGCTGCATCCGCGGGAAGGGGGCTCTGGGGAAGGGGCTTCCACTCTCTACCGGGCTCGCGCAGCCTCCCCCGGGTGCTGGAGAGAAGCAGCGGGAGGCTGTGGCATTTCTGAGCTCCCTTTCCCAAGTTTGGATGAGAGACACGAACAGGGAGGTTTCGACAGACGAGCCAGTGTTAGCGCTCAGAAATACACCCATACTGGATTGGAGGATGGAGGCGGAGTGGAGAAACAATTGTAGGTTGAATGGTGGAGAGAGAGAACCTGTGAGGAGGACTCGGCAGAGTCTACGACAAGGAAATCCCCACAGAGGGGAAGACAGACAGGGCAGGTCTGACCAACCCGGGACTGGCAGATCCAGGCCCGGATTGCTTCCTTCTTCTTGTCCCTGGCGCTCATTTACATGTGCTCACGTCCTCCCGTCCATCCATCCATCCATCCATCCATCCATCCACCTGCTCTACAGACTGCCAAAGAACAAACACAGCTGAAGAAAGCTCAGGGATGAGGCAGAAGGAGGGATGCTAAGATAAAGAGCAAATTCTCATATAGAGATTTTTTTTAAGTGTTTCTTTTTGTTCCCCTCCAGTCTCCTGTTGCAGCGCCCAAGTGTCCCAGAGTCCCGCAGCGCTGCTGACCCGCGAAGGGGACCGCGCCGCCATGGCCTGTGCTTACTCCACCACTTACCGGACCTTCCAGTGGTACCGGCAGGTCCCCTCGGGGGAGATCACCCACCTGCTCACTGTGGCCGCCAACCGGAATGCCACGGAGGGGCGATTCACAGGGGAGAGCCGGGAAGACGGCAAGAAGTGCTTCTTGCACCTGTCCCAGGCCCGGCTGGGGGACTCCGGCCTCTACTTCTGTGCGGTGGATGCACAGTGACACGGCAGAGCCGAGCGCTGCGCAAAAACCCTCCCTGCCCAGGCTCGCGGGCGGGACACGGGAAGTACCCGTGACCAATGGGAAGAGGTCCTTACTGGATGTAAATTGTCTCTGTTTCTACTGATCGCACTGGCCCGGATCCACCGCTGGAATAATGGACCAAGTGAAGGGGCCCGAGATTCACTGCATGTAGAAGGGGTAGGGGCATCTCGGATCCCGCAGGAACAGCGAGAGGAGAAACGTGGGATCAGGGAGAGAGTCTTCCTCCCTCAGGCCTGCCCTCAGGCCTCTTCTGGCATCCCCCTTCCCAGCCTATTCTGCTCCGGGTCCCACTCTCATTCTCGCCTCAGTAACACAAAGTCTGTCTATTATTAACTCGCTAAATGCCGGAAACCCCATCTGGCCTCCTCCAATCAGAGCGGACACCCGCTTGCCTGCAGGTTGCCCCGTAGTCAGCGTCCGGCAGCAGTGAAAAAAAATCCCCCTGATCTTTTG